GACCAAGTCTGGGCCACTCAGACATCTGTGGCATCTTCACTCTTGGCACTACCACAGCCACAAGTCTCCAACTGGGACATGTGTGGTGGTTTCATGAGTGGACCCAGCAGGGAAGCAGGGCTGCAGCAGCCACGTGCTGGTGAGCGTGGACCAGGGAGTGGATTCTAAGATGTGGGAGAACAAAGAGGCAAAGAGGATGTACGGTCCCCAGAGTCGGAGTCCCTGTGAGAAGCAGGTTCCAGAACCAAGGAGAGGGACCAGGAGCGATGAGAAGCGGTTAGGGTTACCAGAGGGGCTGCAGTGCCTGTAAGGTGGGTACTGGCCAGTGGCCAGTGGTGCATCGGAAGGAACTGGATGGGAATGAAATGCTCCCTGCGGCCCTCCAGCGCCCCCTGCTGACGGAGCTCACGAGAACCACCTGTGTTGCTGGGAGACCACCCAGTTATAGAACCTGTTACACAGTAACAAGTGCCTAGCCGACATGGGGAGCAGGAGCCTGGCACCAAGTGCCTGGCAGACATCGGAGCAGGAGCCTGGAGCCAGCCCCTCTGCCTCCTCCAGAATTCCTGAGAAACACCGCCTTTTACTTTGGCAAAAGGCTCTTATTTATTTATTTATTTATTTATTTATTTTTTATTACTCTTTTGTGTGCGTGTACCGTCAAATCAGATCTGACTGGTACAGGAGGAGATTGTCCCTCCTTCCTCCGCAGAGCATCTGGTGGGTTCGAACCGTGAGCCAGTTCCTTGCCACTAGGCCACCAGAGCTCCCCTAGCAAAAGGCTCTTTGATGCTATGTAATTAGTCTATGGTCGTGGGAAGGGAAGTATGTTTTTGAAATATTTTATTAGTATTCAACGTGTTAAACCCTGCATGTATAGATGAGACCTGGTGGCCCACTGGTAATTACAGCATTGTGCTGACAATCCAGGGTTCGAATCCACAGCTTCTCCTTGGGGAAAGATGAGCAATTTTACAGTCTCTGAAAACTCCCTGAAGCTGTTAGTTCTGACTGGCACCACCACAGATGTTTCAGTCAGAACCAACTCATAACTAGACCCTTCGGCAGGTTTTCAGAGGCAGTGAATCACATGGGAGGAGATTGTCCATATTTCTCTAATGAAGCAGCTGGTGAATTCGAACTGTGTACCTTTGGGTTGGCAACTCACCTCCTGACCAACAATCTCTCAAATGTGAAATGGTTGGGACCATTGTGGGAAGCTCTGGTGACATACTCCATAGGGACCTGCACTGCTCATCCAAAAACTGTGCCTCTCTGGAAGTTCGAATCCAGCAGCAGCAGCCCTGCAGGATAAAATGAATGCTCTCCTCCAGTGTGAGCACAGCCTGGGAAGCCCGAGAACTGGAGTTGGGTCGGCCTCCATTGCACTAAGTGGGGAGGGACAATGCAATCGGAAGTCCGACACGTCCTTAGAAAACTGGGAACGGAAATGTCTTTGGACGAAGCAATCCCACTCTCGTTACTAGAGGCCAACACCTAAACTGTGACTCTATGACCTGTGGACAGCAGAGGTGAAGCCTGCCCGCCCTGTACCACCCGCACCACCTCTCCCACGCTGGGGCCCACTGGTACAGTCGCCTTGTCGAGGATCTTCCTCCCTTTCTCTGACCATCCAGCTCCCACCTGACAACATGGCCAACGTGTGTGATGTGCAGTTTCACCGTTTTTGCCCCTAAGGAGCATTCTTGTTGATTCTTCTGACAGTCCCTGGAATAGTCAGTGATCTTCGCCAATACCCCAGTTCAGAGGCATCAATTCTTCTTTTGTCATCCCTGGTCATTGTTCAGAACAGTGCCAGGGGGAAGATGTAAGAGCAGGGTGAGTACAGAGGCCAGGCCAGGGCACAGAGTGTGCATTCCAAAACTGAGTGGTCTGGAATTCTCATTCTTCTCAAGGTCAGCCGCAATTTGTTGTGATCCACATGGCCCAATGTCTTTGCATGGTCAATAAAAAACAGACATCCTTCTGGTTCTCTCTACTTTCAGCCAGGATCCATCTGACATCAGCAATGATTTCAGTGCCACAGCCTCTTCTAAATCCAGCTTTACACACTAATTAATTAACTTCATTATTTAATTGTAATTAATATTATAAAACAAAATGTGCTGAATAGAAACTCAATATGGTTTTTAAACATACACACAAATAAAATTAAATAATTAAGTACCCATACTTGCAAAAATAGAAATAAATATGTTTAGGATTCCACTGTGGTGAAATGTAATGGTGTTAGTTGCTGTACATACGGAGGAGTCAGTGCAGATTTCATTCTTTGTAATACTTTCTTAAATTTTTCTTTTTTTAGTTTCTTATTTTAAAAAATTAGATGTCAACTTTAGAATATACACGTGGATTGATAGCTTTTCAGAATTATCTGGGCAGAAAGAGTCCACTGCTTTGCCCAGTGTGTGGTCAGAACAGGCCACGTATCCACTGCAGCTTGAGACTACTGTGCAGTTCAGGGGTGTAAGACACAGTCCAGATGTCTGAGGTGACCAGGGCTCAGAGAACAGAAGGTCAGCAGCAGGAGGGAGATGTGAGGGCAGGGCAGGTGGAGTGGCGGGGAGAGTAGTCAGGCAGCCCCTGCAGGATTCTGACATCTCTCCCCCTCAAAGGCACCCCTGGAGTGGGGTGCGGCCAGGCGAGTAGCATGGAGGGTATCTTCCCAGCCTGTTCGTGGTGCCCTGTTCGGACTCAGCTTAAAGTGAACACTGGCTGCTTGAAAGGCCAAGCCCTCATCTGTGCTGAGTAGAGTTGGCACGATCCCAAGCCGCAGCCTCATCTAAAATGTGCCCATCCTCCTGCATGGGGCACCGGGACAAGCAAACTTGCTGTAATCTTTGATAGCTTCTAACTGCTCTGTAAAACATCTGAAAAGTGCAGGCGGATGGCCTCAGAATTCCAAGCGAAAGCTGATAGACAATAAGAACAGGACCCGCCCAGTGACCACTGGACTGACCTGTGACCCCTGCTCACAAGATACTGTTCTACCTCCTGTGACCTTGGAAGCCACAAGAGCAGAAGTGCCAGTGGGAGTGTCCAGACTCTGCCCAACTGGTCTGGTCAGGCCTGCTCCATGGCCCCTGACCTGACTGTGAACTTGGAAGTCAGGGAATGCGCACTCAGTGTGTTCAGGGTTCAGCAGCGAAAGCTGACTCAGCTGCTCTACATACCCCATTTTGCCCATATTTTACTCAAACTAGATGCAGTTTTCCCAGAAGCGGGTGCTGTGTCACTAGACTCCCAGCACTGTGACCTAGCGTCCCTAAATTAACCTTTATGTTCGTACTACCATCACATCCTCATCTCTAACTCAGCAGGGGTGGGGGGCATAGCCCACCTCTCTGTACCCCCAAACCACCCTCTGTGTCTCTGTGCAGCAACATCACCCCGAGGCTCCCCTAATGCACCAAGGCCTCACGCCTAATCAGATTCGGGTGTAGCTGCCACCGGCTGCAGCTCCAGGCTGGAGCCCAAAGGGTATGCCTCCCTAGATTTCCAATCTGGTTTACCTGAGAGCAGGAAGGCTCAGCCCACACATGGTGACTGCCCTGGGCCAACCCAGCTCTTGGCCACAGACTTCCTGCCTCCTCACCAACTGCCCACACGGCTCCACCTGCCCAGTGCTGTCCTGGACCTCTCCTGTGGGCTCAGTCTGGCTGTCACAGGGCTGGGGTGAGGGAGGGGGAGTGAAGCACTGGTCGCAGTCCTACTCTCTACGGGGGAGGGGGGGGGAGGGTCAGCCTGACCCTTCACCTGGATGGAGGGGAGCTGTCAACAGAGGCTGTCCTAGGAGCAATGTCCCAGTCATTTGCTGGGGTGCGGGGAGTGGGGCTCTCTTGGCCACATTTTGAAGCCAGGCTTGCTTCTTGGATGCAAAGACACTAACAGGGCAGTGAAGGGGTTAATCATGAGTAAGCAAATTGAGGCGTCCTGTTTGTTTCCTGCCTCGGGTTCCCACAGAGCTGACTGAAGGAGGGGACATTAAGGCTTTAACTGGTAACCCCAACCTAGTAGCCATGGGGCCCCAGCTCGGGCTGGACAAGGGTGCATTGCAGCAGCGTGATTCTCCACCCGGGGCTCCCTACTCGGCGGGCCCCCCACACCCCGCCTCCACCTGACCCAGGGCGGAGTCACTGCAGTAGCCACGGGGGGTGGGGGTGGGGGGGAGGTGGACTGCGGCAGCCCCGCCCCTCAGCCTCTTAGAGGATCTGTGGGATTAGGGACTAGGTGGAGGGTCCAAGTGGAGGGTCGCAGGGGCTCTCCTAAAATGAGCGAGCCCTCAACCCCTCTGCAGTGCGCCTACGTGGGCGCAGACCCTGGACATTCCGCCAGCCCCGCCCCCACACAGTCTCGGGCCGCGACTCCCCGTGCACCCCCGGAGGTGGTGTCGCCCTTTAGACACTAGAGTGCAAAATGCCAAGAACACACATGGAGTTCCCACTCTCTCCCAGGGACCCCACCATGCCACTGTCGCGAGCTCCATCACCCCGATTTTCAGCCCTCGGTAGCAGCTGTCTCCCCACCCCGTAGCAGAGAGGCGGCGCTCCTGCACCGCCTTGGCTAACACTGCGGCAGGTGGGGGGCACCAGCGCGTGCAAGGGGTGGCAGGTGGGGGGCACGGGCGCGTGCAGGGGGCGTAAGGGAGACGCAGGGGGCGGGCCTGCATACCACCGCAGGGGCGAGGCCGCCAGGACTGACAGCCGAGAGGGGGGCTCAGTGATGGGCAGACAGCGGGGGGGCGGGGGCCTGGGTGCGCGGCGGCGCGTTGCCATGACGGCTGGGCGCGCGTAGCTGTGGCCGGAGCGGGAGTCGGAGCTGAGCCCCGCGAACCTGCGGCACAGAGGCTGAGGCCGAGCAGACAGGAGGGGCTGCTGGAGGGAGCAGCGACCCGGGCGACCCGGGCGAGCCGGACGCGGGCTGGAGTGCCCAGAACCCGGACCCCGGAGCCCCGCGCGGGCACTGTCGGTGCCCACAGGATGCAGGCCTTGGAGCGGGCCGCCGCGGGCTTCTGCGAGAAGGACGGCAGGGATCTGGACTTCTATGACTTTGAGCCGCTGCCCACTCTGCCGGAGGACGAGGTGAGCCCGGGGTGCGCTCCCCCTTCCCTGGGAGGACCCCAGGGTGGATCCGGGAGGGGCAGGAGCGCTCTGCTTCCACAAAGTGGCTGGTGGGAGATCCTATGTCTGCTATTGTCTCTTGGCCTGTGTGTGAACAAGACCCTGGGATGCTGCCGGGCACCGAGTGGGTGGGCAGCTCACGCTGTGTCCGAGGGTGAAAAACTGTTAGTGAACATGGTGCCTGGACATGGGGATTGTGACTTGGGAGGGAAGTGAGATTGAGATGTTTACTGCCCGCTGCGCAGCGTCCTGGGGCCAGCAAGAGGTGCGGGCAGCAGAGCTGAAGGGGGGGCCAGAGCTTCCCAGGAGGCCCACACTCAGCGACCCCTCCCCTCACCAGACTAGAAGTGCCAGAGGACTCCAGCCACCCGTCACTCTGGGCGCCAGTCCACTGTCCGGGCCCAGGGCCCACAGCCCAGCCTGTCAGATGGCAGCACTCACCCCAGAGGCCTGTCTGTCCTGAGTTTCCATGGACTCAAAGTACCAGCAGACCATGAAATGGAGTCGAGTTCATATGCTCAGTGGTCTGTGGGCAGGTGGAGGGGCCTCTTGAGGGGATGACCTAGGAGAGAAGGATCCAGAGGGTGCCCCAGTCCCCACACCATGTCCTCTGCGTGGGGAGCCTGACTGGCTTCTGTCGCAGCACCCCCAGCCAGGATGCTGCGGCTGAAAGTGGGCACTTAGAAGCCCCCTCTTTGAATGGCCCCAGACCAGTGAAGACCCTCCAAATGCCACTCAGACCAGGCCGTGGGGAGACTGTCCGACTCCTAGCACGTCACACCCCAGAGCCAGGCAACCACATACACAGGCTCCCAGCCCCGCCTCCCTCCACCACAGCCTGAGGTGTCCTAGACTTGATACTTACGTTGAATCTTAATTCTGGGTACAGAACTGGAGCCTGTCTGGGGAGCTGTCCACTACCCAGGAGAGTGCCCACAGGGGGCATCATTGCTGCCCCACCCCTACACAACCTGGATTTGGTGGCAGGGTTGGGGAGCTGCAGAGAGGAGAGGCAAGGGGACAAACAGCTCAGTCCTGCCATGGTCCCAACTGCGGTCAGCCTCAGCCTCGGAGCCTCCCACGGGGTCATCTTGGTTTGGGCAACACCACTTTGCTGCCCTTGAGGTCAAGGGGGCTCGAGGGGCCCTCGAAGCCCAACAGTGGTCTCTGGTTGGTGACGTCATACAGAGCAAGGCCAGGGCAAGAACATGAACCAAAGCCCATCTGCCCACTTTCCAACATCTCTAGATGCCCCCTGTTGGTGTAAATGTTCCCCAGGGCTACAGCCCCACCCGCATCCCACCCCAGACACCCCAGGGACCTGTGACTGCAGGTGCAGGAGGACTGGCATGTAGTTCAGGGACATCCCGTGGCCCTGCCTCCCCAGGAGAAGGTGCTGCTGTGCCCTGGGCTCCACACATAAGAGTCGTGCGTGCAGAAGAGACAGATGTCTTGAAGCTGAGAACTCCTGTTAGCCAGAGCCAGACCTTCTCGATGGACTGGACCTCAGAGCCAAGCCCAGGGCCACTGGTCTCTGGGTCCGAGACATCATGAGAAGTTGAATTGAATAGGAAAAGCCATTGATGTCAGCTGCTCTTGGCCAGGAGAGACTACAGCATCTGTCCAGTGAGCAGGTCTGAGGGACCTTACCTCAGAGCCATATAGTGAGGTCAAAAGGCAGTCCAGGAGAGCCGAGCAGCTCCTGGAATGTGTGAAGGGCACCAGACTAGAACCACAGGAGATGTGCCAGGGAAGACCTACGCCACCTACCAGAAGAGATCTGGCCCCAAAGTGTCACAGGAAGTGCCCCCAGTGGCCCCATGCAGCAGGCTGGGGGACAGAGCATCTGAAGAAGGTCTCCCTCACACCTGGAATAGCCTCTGTGAAAGCAGGTTGGCATCAGACAGCAGAGGTGCCCACACTCCACATCCCAGCTGCCTCCCCACTGTGCTCACACCAGACTCATGTAAGAGAACAGAGCTGCAGCCACTGGGGACCTCCAGGTTGTACCCTGTCCAGGTGCCCAATCTGAAGTGGTACCAGGCCAGAGACTACAATGCAAAGTGGGCCCTAGACAACATCAGCTTCTGCAAGAGGAGCCCAGCCCCTGGAGCCATGGGGTGCGATGGGGTGTGGAACCAGGCTGGGTACCCACCTCAGGTTGACCAGGGGAGAACAGAAGAGGCTGAGCTGGATGCTGTGGTTGGAAGTCAGCCAGGCTTTTGCCCTGTTGGTGGCAAGGGTTCCACTGGCTGGCAGGGTGTGTAGCTGAGGAAGGGCCAGGTATGGAGGGGAGAGGAGGAGCAGATGTGAAGGTAATGAATGGACAAGTGTGGAGGTGAAGAAGGGACAAGTGTGGATGAGGAAAGGGCAGATGTGTTCTGGAAACGGGCATGCTCTTCCCATTTCCACATTGACTCAATACCCCTGCACCTGCTGTGGGACAGGCTCGGCACCTGGCGGTGGATATGGAAGGGACCCTACCCTGCCCTGGGGGAGCACATAGCCCCTGGCAGCATCATAAGGAGAAGGAGCAGGTGCATTGCCCCCTGTTAGGCTTACATACAAGTCATGACTGGTAGCTGTGGTTAGGGGGCCTACAGAGCACAGAGTAGCTTAGGAGAGGAGATGAAATGTACACCTGCTCAGAGAAGGAGTGGAAGGGAGGCAAGCGCTTGAGGGCCAGCAGGCAGACCCCAGGTAGAGCACTGACTGAGCCTGGGCTGGGAGTTCAACCACAGGACCTGATCACAGCTGCTCTCAGGGGCTGGGCTCTGTGCTGGCGAGAGCTTGCGCATCAGGTAAGTGAGCATGTTTTAGTGTCACAGGGGCCCCTGGCTCGTCAGGGACCTGGCTTCCAGTTTGTCCGTGTGAGGGACTTGTGGCATGAGGATCCTCAAGTGGGAAGCCCACCCTGCCCTCAGCCACCCATGCCACAGCTGTGCCAAGGGTGACATCAGCCAGCCTGATTGAACTCTGCATACCATTGCAGGGCTGGAGGTCAAGGACATGCTCCTGTCCACCTCAGTGGGGAACACCTCACTGGGGCCTCAGGGGCAAGGAAGGGTATAGCACGGATTGGAGGGGACAGGACCTCCATGCCTGGGAAGGAATCTGTGTCCAGTTCAGAGCCTCGAGGAAGCACCGCAGGAGCACGGATGACTCTGATGCCACTCATCCTTCAGACTCTTGCATCCTGGGTACACGTGCACATCTAGGTGGTCAGTGGGCAATGCAGGGATACTGGCTTCAGCTCACACACCCTTCCCTCTGATTGATGTCCACTGTGGTCCGTTAAGCTGAACAAGTCTCCTCAAGCTCTCCTCTGACCTGTAGCTTCCAGACTTCGCTTTGGCCTTCCAGGCAGTGAGGCTTAGTCAACAGTCCTAAGCTAGTAAGCAGGAATGGGGTCAAGGGCTCTGTCCACCTGATGGCCAGAGGGTGAGATGTTTGGGGACCATGGAGAACATGTGTGCAGTGCCTGCGTTTCCTCCTGACTTCCTCACCCTGGTCTCTGGACCCTCAGTCAATGCTTGTCCTTGTTCCCATCTACAAGGCTGGCCCATGGGGATTAGGGCTAGGGTGCCACCTGGGGTGGTGCTGTGAGTGAGCTCAGTGGAGGAGGTAGAGGAGACCAGGACCCCGAGAGTGGGGTTTGTCAGGGAGTCTGTGTGTTAGCATCCTCGGGTCCCTCCTGGAACATGACTCAAGGTGTGGAAAGTCACCCTGGCCCATCAGGCAGGATGTCCAAGACCAACATGGGGACCTCCACTCAAGAAGAGTGTGGGAGCTGCAAGCCTCCAGCTTGGGCAAGCAGGGCGAGTAGTTCCCTCAGAAAGCAAGTGTTTGATCCTGAGCAGGAGACCATGCTGAGATGTGAGAGGCACAGCAGCTCCTCCCTTCTCTTGGCCACATCCCTGCCAACAGCTCCAGGAATGGGGCCAGAACCAGTGAGTGTCACCAGGCAATTGCAAGAGAAAGGCTCAAACAGACATCCCATACCAGCTTTGTTTCTCCTCTGCAGGCCTTACCTGAGAGTTCTCAGGCAGCTTATTACAGCACTTGAAACTATGTGCATGTGTGCGTATGTGTGTGTCTTTGTGCCATGTGTACTATACATATATATGTGATTGTGTACATGTGTGTTCCATCTCTGTGGGTGATGTGTACCTATGTGCAATGGACCCATGTGGTGGTATGCATGTGTGTGTGTGTGCCTGTGTGCAGCATGCTTGACTAGGTGTGTCCTGTGTGCATGTCTGTGTGTATAGGGTGTGTGTGCGTCAGTGGCCTATGTGCGTACATGAGTTGCCTGCACATATACTTGTACATGTGCCTTCCTATGTGTGTGAGTGCATGTGTTAGTGTGTAAATGTGCAGGTGCATGTGTGTGTTTGTGCATGTGTCACAAGAGTGAGTAGATGGCATGAGTGCAGGTGTTTATGTAAACATGCTAAGTTAGCCTGTGAATATATGTGTGTGGTTGTAAGAATGATGGCATGCACGTGTGTGTGGTGGTGTGCACATGTGTAAGTATAGTGTGTACATATGAGTGATCACATGTGTGTGTTGTGTGCTTGAGGGAATGTGGTTGTAAGATGTCTAAGTGTGATGGGGTTGAGATGGCGTTCACAAGTGTATGGGGAGATATACACATATCACATATACATATATGTATGTGACATATACACAAGCGAATGTGTGTGGTGGTGTGCACAGGTGTAAGTGTGGAGTGTTTGTGGGATATCACGTGTTGTATGCATGTGCAAATGTGGTTGTAAGATGTGCGACTGATGGTGTGGACATGTGAGTGTGGTTATAGTGTGCACATACATAAGTGTGGTGTGTTGGTGCCTGTGTGTGACTGCACATGTGTGTTATGTGGGAATGTGGTGTGCGATGTATGTCTGGGTGACGATGTGTGACAGTGTACATGTATGGGTGAGTGTGGATGCGAATGTGTGTGACTGTAGATGTGTGTGTGTGTGTGTGTGTGTGTGTGTGTGTGTGTGTCATGCACAGGTGTGAGACGGGTTTTGTATGAGTGCTCATGTGAGAGTGTGATTGTAAATGTGAGAATGTCTGGGTGTAACACTGCGTGTGTGTGACAATGGATGTGTCTGTGACTTGCCACATGCGTGAGTGGGGATGTGCATGTGTGATGTATACACGTGATGTGTGTAGTGGTATGCTCTTGTGTACATGTACATGGGTGTACATGACAGTGTGCGTCTATGTAGGTGTGAAGGGTGTGACGGTGAGCTAGCCTGTAAGTGGGGGTGTGATTGTGTGCATGTGTAATCCAATGTGTGTACATTGCGGTATTTGTGTGAGAGTGGGGATGTGCACATCTGTGAGTAGGTGGATGATTGATGATTGTGATAGTCTGCACATATGTCATCGGAGTGTGTGTGATGGTATGTACATGTGTAACTGGATTGGTGTTTGTACATGTAGTAAGTGTGGGTGGTGTGTAGAATGGTGTGCACATATGTAAGTGTGGGGTATAATGGTGTTCACATGCATATGTGATGGCATGCTCGTGTGTGTGTGCACACTTGTGTGAGAATGTGTTAGAGATGCTGTGCACTTATGTCGGGATGTGTATGATGTATCCACTTGTGTGCATGTATGTAAGTGGGTGTGACAGTGTTGGCAGGTGTGAGTGTGGGTGTGGATTGCAGTGACCATGACCACAGCTAGGGTTCTGGAAGGGAGCAGAGAACAGGGGAGGCGAGGTGCCCAGCCATGTGGATACCTGGTGAAAGCATGGCCTCCAGCACTCCAGAGCTAGTGTCCAGGTGGCTTGTGGCCCTGGAGTCGGTCACACAATTCCCTTATTGCACAGCTGTGTGTCTGCAGTGGGGACTTCACCGTCCAGGCGCTGAGCGGCAGAGGCCCTGCAGGAACCATATGTTCACACGCTGGAGCAGGGTCTAAGGAGCACAAGCCCCACATGCCCTATGACCAGGTGTGTGCAGACACCTGTCTCGAGATGCTAACACTCAGGAATAGCAAGGTTACTGTCTGTGAAAATAAAATGTGCCAAAGGCAAGTTCCCTGCCCACAAGCGTTGTTTCCAAGGAGAAGAGAGGCCTGAGGCCTGGGGCGGCAGGTGGGGGTAGTCACTGCCAGCCATCCAGCCTCTCTGTCTTGGCAGGAGAATGTGTCCCTGGCCGACATCCTCTCCTTGCGGGACAGCGGGCTTCGCGAGCAAGAAGCCTGGGCTGTGTGCCTCGAGTGCTGCCTGTCCATGCGCAGTGTCGCCCACTCAGCCATCTTCCAGACACTCTGCATCACGCCGGACACGCTAGCCTTCAACACCAGTGGGAACGTGTGCTTCATGGAGCAGCTCAGTGGTGAGGGGCAAGATGGGAGAGTGGGGTCCAGAGCAGAGGGTGAGAGGAAAAGGGAGCTGGGAACAGAGTCCAGGAAAGAGGTTGAGAGTGGGTTGAGAGCTGAGGATAGAGTTTGGGGAATGTTAGGGATAGGTATAGGCTGAGGCCAAGGGTAAGGTGAGGGGATTGATGAAGGGGCAGGGTTGAGGCAGAAACATGTCCCCCTGACTCCTTCTCCAGGAAAAATCCACACTGGAGGAGACCTGGCTGTGGCCAGCTGGGGCTTTAACCCGCCTCCAGACACAGGCCTTGAGCCTGGGGCTGGAATTCTCCATCTCTAGGGAGGCGGGGGTCTCCTGTGTCTGTGCTGTCCCCTCTGACTCCCTCTGAGACCACACTGGACTTAGCGAGGACAATAACAAGGGAGGGGGAGAGAGCAGAGCAGGGGTCCTGTGCGTCAGCTCCCAGGTGCATCTTTGCCTCATGAGCTCTGGGGCTGCTAATCAGAGTGTATCTTTTCCTTCCCCAAGATGACCCTGAGGGCGCCTTTGTTCCCCCAGAATTTGACCTAACTGGGAACACCTTTGAGGTAAGTGCTGGCAGATGGAGGCTTTCCAAGTTCATCCCTTCCACACCTGTGGTGCACCTGGGCCACACCTGTAACACACTAGTAGCACACTTGTACCACACCTGGGCCACATCACTGCCACACTTTATTGCACCAGTACCACACCTGGGTCACACCAACACCACAGAAGTACCATACTAGCCATATCTGTATCAAACCTGGGACACACTTGAACCACACCAGTGCCACACCAGCACTATACCTTTGCACCCGTACCACACCTGGGCCAAGCCCAGACCTACCTGTACAACACCTGGGCCTAGCCTAGTGCTGGCCCCTATGTGTGGAGCCACGCACGCCACTCGGGCTCTTCCCAGCCCCCTTTCCCACTGGTGAGGGGCCATCCGCAGCCCACCCACCTTGCCAGCTGCACCCTCTGAGCTGGTCTGATAATGTGGTGCTTTTCAGAGCTGTAACTGTGCACATTGACTTGCCAGTAGATCTCACAATGTGTTCTGGGGTGCACTCCACTCTGTTTAACACACTGGAAGTACCCAGCTTGTTCCACTCCCGACACTGAATCACGGTGTCTTCCACTCTTGGCACAGTTGGGCTGTTAGTCACCAGGGCTGGGTGGGCACGTCTGGTGGCACAGACCCTCCCCTCATGGGTAAGGATGCGGGTAGGGGTCTATGGCGGGGGGGGGGCGTGTCCAGTCGGCATGGTCCCCTCTGCCTTGCTGCAGGAGTCCTCCCTGCCCTCTTGTCCACCTGTCAGTCCTGGACATGCAGCTCCACTTTGAGGTGTAGCTTTGCACTTTGTTCAGGGGGTCTTTTCTCAAAACACGTTAGTCCCAGGTACCCGTTACACTTTCAACACTTGAGAACCCTACAAGCTTTTGTTTATGTGAGTTCTGCTGTGCACAAATTGTTAAACCACTCCACTAATCAAAAGGTTGGAGGTTCAGGTCCACTAAGAGGCATTTGGAAGAAAGGGCTGGCAAGCTGCTCCCTGACAATCAGTGATTAAAACCCCGTGGGGCACAGCTTCACTCTGACAGGTACTGTGAATACAGCTACTGATACTAAACCCACAGTATGTCACATCGGTAAAATGTTTATGAAGAACAATACACACACACAAGGCTGATAAGAAAAGGCTCATTGTGTTACATTTTTAAAAATCTCCTTCTGTCTGACTTAATGGAAGGCAGGGAGCCCTGCTGGCCCTGCTGGCAGAGTGAAGTACATGCTGGGCTTAGGGTTTGAATCTATCAGCCGCTCTGCAGGAGAAAGCTGAGGCCCTCTGCTTCTAACAAGAGGTAGAGCGGCAGCAGCCTGGGTAGACTGGGTTTTGCTTGAAAAGAAGGCGGCTTTCGGTGCGGCTACTGTTCCGGTCTGCTGTACAAGCAGATGACTCTGACCCCTGAGAAACCCCACCGTTGGCTGAGGAACCAGTGAAAGAAGAAACACATCAGGGTTAACCATTTCAAATTGCTGTGAAAGCCATTTGATGGCATTCGGTGATGAAAACGTGTCTTCTTGTTAAGATTGCTGCTGCTGTGTGGACCGTCAAGTTGGAACTGACCTATCACTTGCCCTCATCAGGTTTTCAGAGGCAGTTTTTTTGGTTTTTTGTTTGTTTGTTTTTTTCAGAGGCAGTTTTAATCACATGGGAAGAGATTGCCTATCTTTGTTAGTTGTGTGTGTGTGCGCGCGCGTGTGCACGTGCGTGTACCACCATCTAGTGCCAGGGTCTAACAAAAAGTCACTAACATTTTCTACTAAGAGTTTGAAAATTTCTTCAATCTCCCTGAAGCTGGTCTTTGTTTATGATCTGAGGGAGGGACCCACTTTTTTATTGCTCTATATTGTTGCTGTTGTTATGTACTGTCAAGTTGCTTGTGACTCATAATGACCCTATGTACAACAGCTCTGAACCCTGCTCTATCCTGAGCCAACCTCATCGTCTCCGATACACCCACCCCCTTTACTACAGTCACTGAGTCAACCCATCTCACCCAGGGTCTTCCTCTCTTGCACTGTCCATCCACCCTCCCAAGCATGACGTCCATCTCCAAGGACTGGTCCCTCCTTGAAACATGTCCAAAGTATGTCAGAGCTTCAGAATCCTTGCCTCCAAGGAGCAGCCTGGTTTCACCCTCTCCAGGATGAACCTGTTTGTTTTTCTAGCTGTCCACAGCATATTCAATACTCTTCTCCAGCACCACAACTCAAAGGCATCAATTCTCCTTCTATAATCCTTAGTTATTGTCCAGCTTTCTGATGCATAGCAATTAATTGTGAAGACCATGGCCTGGATTAGTCGTACCTTAGTCTTCAGACAGACAGACTGTTGCTCTTCCATACTCTGGAGAGGTCCCTGACAGCAGACTTTATCAATACAATTAGCCTTTTGATTTCCTGGCTGCTAGTACCAAGAGTGGTGCTTGTGGAGCCAAGCTGAAGCTGTTAACAATCCCAGTCTCCTGACTATCATGATGCTGCCAATTGGCCCAATAGTGGTTTTCTTGATGTTGAGCTTCCATCCATATTGAAGGCTTTTTTTCCCCCAGGAAGAAGGTGCCTCTGCCGTATGCCATGGTTTTCCACACAGCTCAACTTGGATCTCTGTCTTTTTCCACTGACCCCTAAGTGAGAGCCCAGTCTTGCTAACAGCCAGCTTCACAGAGAAGTCCTGGCCTGGGGTCAGGACAGTCCTGACCCTGTTCTTTCTTAAACTTGTCCTGACTAACCCTGGCCTCTGCTTTTTCATAGACATTTTGGAGTGAGTTGACCAAGTCCCATGAAAGCCCTGTCAGGATTTCTATTAGAATGACACTGAAGCTAGAGATAATGTAGGGAAAACTGGTGTGGTCTTCTTCATAAACACCTCATGAACCCCTCACCTCATTTAGGTCTTGTCTAATGCTTCTTAACACATTTTCAAAGTTTTACTTAGAGGTCTTAGATCCCTTTGGGATTCTGTTGTTGTTCTTGTGTACCATTGAGTTGGAACTGACCCATAGCGGACCTTCCAGTGGACTTTAAGAGGCAGTTAATTGCTTGGGAGGAGATTGACCGTCCTTCCCCCTCTGGAAGCTGTAAATCACACAGAGGGTTGCTTCTCTTCCTCTTGCCATGTTAGATTTAGTCTCGGGAATGTCCCATTTTCTAATTCCAACTTCACTTAAGCTCTTCAGGGTTGTAGTTCTTGGGTAGTTGCACTGCTAACCCAAAGGCCTTGCTGCCAGTTTGGTGGATTTGAACCTCCAGGAAGGCAGGGCCTTGAGGTCAGTAGCACGGCTCTCCACAGACACCACTAGAGCTCCCTGACTTATTCCTAATCTGCAGAAATGCTGTCATGTTCATTTTTCCATCTTGTATCTGGCCAATTGGTAAATTATCTTCTATTGCCAACAACATTCTTTAAATAAAACAAATAGTGACTATACATATGGACCTCACCTGTGATGGATTACGCAGGAAGCAGAGTGATTGCACCTGTGGAAAAAATCATTGGAGAAGCTCAATGTCACCAATAAAAATCAATCCAGCTGCTGATTGTGGTTCAGACCATCAATTGCTTAATGCGCAAGTCCAAACTGAAACTGAAGAAAACAAGTCTATAAGAACCAACGTACAACCTTAAGGCTATCCATCCAGAATGAAAAACCATCTCAAGAATAGATTTGAGACAACAAACACTAATGATCAAAGACCAGATGAGCTATGGGTGACATCAATTATACTATCCAGAAAGAAAGTAGAAGGTCATTGCAAAAACAGAAGAAGAAAAAAGGAATGTCAGAAGAGACTCTGGAAAATTGCACCAGAATGCCAAGAAGACAAAACAAAGGCGAGATGATGACATAAAAGAGTTGAACAGAAGATTTTTAAAGGGCAGCATAAAAAGACAAAGTACTGTAATGACATGTAGTATAATCTTGCATCTATAATGAAAGAAAAATCCTCTCCACTGGACTAATAGGCACCATCATGACAGATGGAGAAAAGATTGAAATTGTCAACAAATTCATCTTACTTGGATCTACAATCAACACCTTTGTTGATTTGAACCAGCAGTCAGGAAATCAAGAGACATCATGCACTAGGAAAGTCTGCAGTCAGGGGCCTCTCCAAATTATTGAGGAGTAATGATGTCAGTTTGAGGAATAAAGTGCATATTATTCAAGCCATGGTCTTTTCAGTAACTTATGCATCTGAGAGATGGGCAATGAATAGAGATGACAGAAAAATTGATGCTTTGAACTGTACTGTTGGAAAAGAGTGCTGAACATCCCATGGATGGCAAAAAGAACAGTTCTATCTTGGAAAAGGTGCAGCCAGGGTACTCCTCGGAGGATGAAGCTTCATGTCTCCTACTTTGAGCATGTTGCTATGAGAGTTTATTCTTGAAGAGAAACATCATACTTGGAAAGGTGGGAGGGGTGGCAAAAGAGAGGAAGGTCCTCAACCAGGTGGGCTGACACACCAAGTGCTGCAATGGCCTTCAGTGTCAGAGATTGTGAAGATGGCACAGTATAGGACAGGGTTCAAATCGGTTGTTCATAGGGTTGCTATGAGTCATACTCGACTCAATGGCACCTAACAACAACAACATAATGAAATGTGCAAAGAGCTAGAGTTAGAAAATAAAAAAGAAAGGACTTGATGGCATTTCTCAAAGTGAAAAACAAATTCGAACCTTGAGTTGCAATACTGAAGGATACTATGGGAAAAATCCTGAGTGATCCAGGAAGTTTTGAAAGAAAATGAAAGGAATATACAAAGTCACTGTACAGAAAGAATTGACTGACACAAAACTGTTTCAGAAGGTCACATATGCTCAAAACCCAATGATGATGAAGGAAGAAATTCAAACTGCATTGAAGGCATTGATGATGATGATGATGATGATAATAATAATGCTTGTGCTTATATAAAACCTATATTTGGACCAGGAGGCAGCTGTCACAACAAAGCAAGGAAACACTACTACATGCTTCAAAAATCAAGAAAGGTATGCACCAGGGATGCATCCTATCTTCACACTTCTTCAATTTAATATGCAGGATATATCATCCAGGAAACTGGGCTCTGTGAGGAGAAATGTAGCATCAGGATTGGAGGAAGACTCATCAACAATCCGTGTTATGCAGATGACACAACCTTGCTTGCCAAAACTGAAAAAGACCATTTGCAGAAAGCCTAGGACTACAGCCTTCAATATCAACTGAAGCACAACACCAAGAAAAAAGATTCTCACCACTAGTTCAATTGGCAGCATCATGATAGACAGTGAAGAGACTGAGATTGTTAACAGTTTCAGTTTGCTTGGCTCCACAATCAACACTCTTGGTATCAGCAGTCAGGAAATCAAAAGATGAATTGCATTGGTAAAGTCTGCTGTCGAAGACCTCTCCAGAGACTGAAGAGCACTGATATCAGTCTGGAGACTAAGGTGCAACTGATCCAGTGTTCACAATTACTTGCTGTGCATCAGAGAGCTGAACAAGACTAGGGATGATAGAAAGAGAATTGATACCTTTGAGCTGTGATGCTGGAGAAGAGTATTGATATGCCATGGACTGCTAGAAGAATAAACAAGTCCATTCTGGAGAGCGAAAAGCCAGGCTGCTCCTTGGAGGCAAGGATTCTGAAGCTCCCTCTGACATACTTTGGGCATGTTGCAAGGAGAGACCAGTCTTTGGAAAGGGACATCATACTTGTGAGGGTGGATGGACAGTGCAAGAGAGGAAGACCCTGGATGAGATGGATGACTAAGTGACTGGAGTAATGGGGGTGAGTGTATCAGAGACAATGAGGTCGGCTCAGGATAGAGCAGGGTTCAGAGCTGTTGTACAAAGGGTCGTTATGAGTCACAAGCAACTCGACGGCACATAACAATAGCAACACCTAATTAATAGAATACTAATTGAAGTGTTTCAGCAAACAGATGCAGCCCTGGATATACTCACAAATCTATGCCAAGTTGTCTTTGAAAAACAGCTGGCCAGATGATTGGAAGAGATCCATATTTGTTCCCATTCGCAAAAATGGTGATACAACAGAATGTGGAAATGATCTAACAATATTGTTAATATTTAATGCAAGTAAAGTCATCAAAATATAGCTAAAACAGTAGAGAACTTTCAGAAATTCAAGCAAGATTTAGAAGCCCTGATACCAAAGATACTATTACTGATGTCAGATCTTTCCTGAAGCAGAGGATACAAGAGGCTGTTTGTGTTTTATTGACTACACAGAGGCATTTGACTATGTAGATCATAATAAATTATGGCTAACATTGAGAAGAATGGGAATCCCAGAATACTTAATTGTGGTCATGCAAAACCTATACTTAGAGCAAGAAAATGCATTGTCAGAATAGAGCAAGGAACACCAAATGTTTTAAAATCAAGAAAGGTGTGTTAGGAATGTATCCTTTCTCCATTTCAATTCAGTCTGCATGTCAAACAAATCATTCAAGAAGATAGACTTTATAAAGGTGAGTATGGACTCCTCTCTTTCTCTTCACCATCTTCCCTGTTCTCCTGCAGCTGTAGCCATGAACGTCAAGCCATGCAGGTTCAGGGGGCACAAGATCACCAGGACTGACAGGAAGGTGTTCCAGTTTCTTAATGCTAAATGCAAGTTGGCATTCCTTTCCAAAAGAAATCCACAGCAGATAAGTTGGACTTACCTCTACAGAAGGAAGTATAAAAAGGGCCAATCGGAAGAAATTAAAAAGAAAAGAGCTCGCCGTGCAGTCAAATTCCAGAGGGCCATCACTGGTGCATCTCCTGCTTATTTCATGGCCAAGGAGAACCAAAAGCCTGAAGTTAGAGAAGCCCAGCAAGAACAGGCTCTCCGGGTGGCCAAAGAAGCAAAAAAGGCTAAGCAAGCACCTAAAGATGCTGCAATGGCTGCTCCCAAGGCTCTCACAGAAGCAGCACCTACACAAAAAAAACAAAAAGAAAGAAAGAAAGATGGGAGGGAGGGGAAAAGGGATGGAGGGAGAGAGGAGAGAAGAGGGGGAAGAGAGGGAGAGGGAGAGGGAGAGGGAGAGGGAGAGAGAGAGAGAAAGAGAGGAGTGTGGCATCAGAACTCAGAGGAAGACTTATCAACACCTGTGTGATGAAGATGATACAATTTCATCTGCTGAAAGTGAAGAAGACTTGAAATGTTTGCTGTAGAAAGCCAAAAACTACAACTTTCAATATGGATTACAGCTCAACATCAAGAAGACAGAAATCCTCACCCCTGGGCCTATAAGCAACATGACAGACTGAGAGAAAACTGAAGCTGTCAAAGATTTCCTCTTACTTGTGTCCACAATCACCATACTTGACACCAGCAGTCAAGAAATCAAAAGACATATTGACTAAATGTTCTCTTAAGGACCTCTGTGAAGTGCTAAGGAGCAGTGAAGTCAGTTTAAAAACTAAAGTGCATCTGATCTAGACCATGCATGGTTTTTTCAACCACTTGCTGTGTGTCTGAGAGCTGGACAATGAATAAGGCTGACAAAAGAAGACTCAATGCCTTTGAGTTGTGCTAGAGAAGAGCACTATCTCATGAACTGCCAAGAGAGTAAACAAATATGTCTTGGAAAAAGTACAGCCAGGTTGCTCCTTGGAGGCAAAGATGATAAAGCTTCATCTCATATATTTGCATGTTGTTAGAAAAGGACATCATGCTGTGGGTGGAGGGGAGACGGTGTCAGCAAAAGAGAGAAAAACCTTCAATGAGATAAATTGACACAGTGACTGCACCAATGGGCTCGAGTATATCAAAGATGATGAGGAAGGCACAGGACAGAGTAGCGTTCAAATTCCTTATTCATGGGTTTCTGTGAGTCATAGTTGACAGCACCTAACAAAACAGTAGCATATAAATGGTTTTTCTTTTTTAATGTAACTAATTTAAATTCTAAAAAGGCGGTCCCACCGCTCCTGTCCATGCGCTATGCCCAGGTCCTGGCCTTGCTGTGCCCCAGCAAGGGCAGCAGTGAGAACCTGAGGAAAGTGGCATGTCCTGTCCCAAGCACCAGTGCTGACACCTCCTTCCTGTCACCACCACTGCCAGGAGCTAGGCTGGGTCCCTGAGACACAAGGCCATGGGCTGCTCGTCTCCCAGGGCAGCATGTCACCACCACAAGACACAAGCCCAAACCCACTGCAGCCAGGCCAGCGCTGAGCCACAGCAGTCTTGGTGTGGTTCCGAGGCTGTAAACCCTAATTGGAGCAAAATGCCGCATCTCCTTCCTGCTGCCAGCTTTCCAATGCCGCATCATCAGGGATCCTTACATAATAAGAGACAAGCATTTTTCCATTTGTGTTGTAATTGTTGGTTAGAGAAGGAAATGAGGACTCCATTAAAATAGCAAAGAAGCCCACAGAAAGTTCTGCAGCAAAAAAGGACAGAGACAGAAGGACACTCAGAGGAAACCTGTCTTTTCTGCAATCCAGTTCTTTCAGAGAGCTGTTGTGGGGAGGGGGACTGTGGGGTGGGGACACTGGGGGGAGGAATGGCAGGTTAGGGGCTGTGGGGACAGGTTCCCTGCTCTTTACCATTGGTCCTTTGCACTGACCAGAGCCCTGGGTCCCCACAGGCTCACATCTACTCCCTGGGGGCCACATTGAAGGTGGCCATGGAGTACGTGCCGGAGCCCGAGCTGGAGCCTAAGCTCAGTGCAGATCTGGAGGCGCTGCTGGGCCAGATGCAGGCAGAGAAGCCAGGGGACCGGCCCCACCTGGAGGTGAGCCATGCACGCACTTGCAGCGTCGGGGTTCTGCATGTGAGCCCAGTAGGCATCGACAGTCCAATGCCCCGAGAAGAGTCAACTGAGCCCCTCGGCCCGCTAAGTTGCTATTATGAAAAGGCATGGCCTCAGGTATCCATGGGCTGTGTGGATCGCTGGGCACCTGTAACCCCAGCGCCCCACTTTCTGGACCGCAAAGTAGCATTCCAGGCTGTGTCTGCGAGCGCGCCCTCCCCACATCCCCACATATCCGTGAGCGCCCCTTCCGCCATGTCCACAGAACATCATCGCACTGTGTGAGCAGCGGATGACAAGCACCTCGTCCTGTCACCTCTGTCGCAGCCTCTCGGCTGTCGGAAGGAGGGTACTTTCCATTGAGTCTTTCGGAGTACTGCCAGGTGAGCATACGTGTGTACATATGCACATACACAAACGCATGCACATGTATGTGCACATGTTCACACGCACAGACCTGAGCATACACAGGTGCACATACAGGTACTGGCACACACATGTACGTGGGCTTGCACATACATTTATGAACACATGCACACAAGCAGATCCATGCACACATACACTAACCCCAATGTACACATCAACATGTGCACACACACATTTACACATAGACATGCACATACTTATACAGATACACATAGAAGTGGACACATCCACATAGACACACACCCTCACCATCATGTGCGTACAAGCACACACACACAGAGATGCACGCACACGTGCATACAAGTACACACACTCACATGGACATACATGCTCAGGGCCATGTGCAAACAAGCACACACATGCACACAGTCATACATACAGAGATGTAAACACACAGCTGGGGTATTGGTACAGCAGTGGGATGGACTATGTTGGACCACCATCCATAGTTTCATGAAAAGCAGACTTCAGAGGGTGGCGAGGAGCTGTTCACAAAGAGGCCTTGTGCCTGGCAGACATCTTGAGTGGACAGAGCTGAGCTGGGCTGGGTTGCACTGGACTGGTCAGGGCTGGGCTAAGCTGAGTCTCTTTAACTCCCTCTCTGTGGGCTACTGCTTTGGAGTCAGACAGAAATAAATGTGCTTTTTTTGGTGCAGTAATTAAGAGGGCCATGGCCTCTCCTAGGATTGAGCCTGTCCAGCCTGGACTGGGAGACAGAGGCCCAGAGGCCTTCCAGAGCCTTCTGGAGCCACCTTAATTAGCTGGAGTTAGGTGATTAAGGAAGGGAGGGAGTGCTGGTGCTGGCTCTGAGAGGGAAGGAGGCTGCCTGCCTGAGACTCTGTGCCCAGGGGTCTTGGAGCCTGGTTGCCAGGTCCTGCCTTTGCTCGCTGTGGCACCACTCTCCCCTGCAGATGTCAGTGAGGCTTCCTGGCAGGGGAGAGTCCTATCTACAAGTGCGGGGCCCAGGGGACAGCATGGGGACCGTGGTGCTGACCAGGGCCTGTCCATGGGTGGCTCCCACATCCTAGAGCAAGAAAGCAGCTGGAGTGTCCATCTCCCACCACCACCGAAGCCACTACTCCCGGCCCCAATCAGGAATGGTGAGAGCCGAGATGGGGAGGGGCTGAGCTCAGAGCGGCTGGCCAGCCTCCTGCTGGACACCCGGGGTCCCCTGGGGGACCTGGACCGCAGCCTGCTGAAGAGGAGCCGCCTGAGGAAGGTGAAGACTTTCCCTCGGCTCCTGGCTGAGGGTACTGAAGCCAGCGCCCTCTGCCTGTCGCTGACCAGAAGCCAGCTGCCCCTCTCTGAGCTGCTCTCTGCTGACTGCTGGAAGACCTATCCAGAAGGGAAGAACGGCCTTCTGGCCTTCAGGGTGCTGCCCAAGGTCAGGCTGTGGCCCGAGGAGGGACCTGAGACCCCAGTGGACCAGACACAAGACACAGGCAGCCATGGAGACAGATGGGCTCTGCCAGGGGCCAGACCAGACAGTGGCTCTAGGCCAGGAGATCTCAGCCAAGCAGAGGCAGCCAGCATCCCCGAATGGGTAGCAGCAGAAGAGCCCCTGCAGTCAGCCAGGGCCACATCCTGCCCCAGTCAGAGACCTGTGGAGGACAGCCCCCAGCCATGTGCCCCAGACCCTGGAGACAGTGATGGAGACCCTGAGACTCACTGCATGGCAGAAGCCACCGGGCAGCCTAAGGGCCAAGGCATGGAACAGGTGGGTGCCTGTTCCCCAGGGGTGCAGCCACAAGGAGCCCGGCTCTCTGTAGGTTGGGGGCAGCTTATAGTCCCTGACCATGCCCCTCCCCCAGTGGGTGTCCCTGCAGGACCTGCTGGAGAAGCTCAGCCGCCCTTTCCGGGAGTACGAGCTGTGGGCACTGTGCCACCAGAGCCTTCTCACCCTGCAGACCTACATCGAGTTCCCAGGTGAGGCTGGTCCCCGTGACACCACGGTTGGCAGACCACAGGGTTGGAGAGCCACTGGCCAGGGCCCGGTGGTCAGCATGGACCTCAGAGCTGGGGGGGTGAGAGGAGTGGGCAGATGCTTCACCCCTACTGAAAAGAAGGGGTCATCAGCACTTGGCCACACAGTCCCAATATGACATCGTCCCAGGGAGGCGAAACTGGTTCTAGGGGAGGGACATTTAATATGGTGATGGTCCACGGCTGTCAGGCCGATTCTACAAGGCTGGTGGTGGGTGGTGCAAGGTGGTGTCCACAGGGCTCCAGGGGTGGTGTGGCCATGTCCCCTCCACGCCTTGGCTCAGTGTGCATGCACCAGCAGAGTGGCCTACCTGGCTCACAGGGTCCTCATTCCTCTGGGGCAGAGAGAGGGGCCAGTGCTCCACCCTAACTCTGCCCAGGAAGCAGATTTCTTACAGCCATGGAGGCAGCCCTGGGGGGCTGTGAGGGAACTGAGCACTCCACTCTCAGGCCTGCCCCATGTGATAGGGAGGCTAAGAGGAGCCCTGCCCCTGGCTCAGGACCACAGTCCCCAGAGGGCCCTGGGGTGGCGGGAGCAGAAGACCCTGAGATGCCACTGCCCGCTCGAAAGCTGGCCCCTGACACACCTTTCCCACAGCTTATCTGTGCCTGGAGTGCGTGCTGGTTGTGGACGATGGCAGCGTGCTCTTTGGGGTGCCCCCTGCCAACAGTGAGTATGATGTACCCCGGGGCTGCACTCCTGTGTTTGCATGGTGAGAGCAGAACTAATCCAGGTCTGGGGTTCTCTCTCAGGTTCACATAATTCCTTTTTCCTGGCACCTGAAGTCGCTGAGAAGGAGCAGGTGACAGAAAAGGTAATCCAGCCTGCCCTCTTCTACACTCCCCAGCCCAGCCCAGGGCCTGTAGACCCTCACGGTCAGGCTTGCCCACTCCTACCACTCTAAGAAGGGAGAGGGGGGAGGGGCGTGGTGCTGGGGTGCGAGGGGATCATGGCAAGTCCCAGGAGGACACCGCCCACTCCCACCTCCTCTGGCTATTGATATGGTCACAGGCAGTGTCCACCCAGCAAGTGTGACCCTTGAGGGTCCCAGGGGACATGGTTCAGAGGTTGCTGCCCTAGCCGGCCTCTGCATCAACAGGCAGAAGTAATAGTACATGAGGCCACCTGTCCAGGTTCCTGGACCAACAGCAGTAGTTAGGGAGTCATCAGTAAACAGACTCAGTTCAATCAGACTCAAAACCAAGGCAGAGCTTCTGCTTCTGGGAAGAGGAGAAACACACGGTTCCTATTCTGCCCGCTAAGAGCACTAAAACCTGTATGTAAAACACACTTAGGAGGCTGAAATGTGGAGAGAAGGCAAGCCTGCCTTAGGACAGAAGTAGCTAAACAGTGGGGAAGCTGTCCCAGACGTACTGAAGAAGCCACCAATTCAGAAACACCAATAGCTGTAGACAAAAAGCCCAGAAACATGGGCCCACGATAGGCAGACCAGCAAGAGAAAAGCTATCGGACAGGAACCGCTCGCCCAGAAACCATCGTCTGCACACCTTACTCTGGAAAAACAGTCTGCAGTAACTGCTTGCTCCAGAAAGTCAGAGGAGCCACTCATTCGCTGACAATAGAGAAAACAGCCCCATCTGTATGCGTAACAGCAGAGTGGACAGCAGACCTGTCCCTCTCACAGCTGTAACAAGGAGCTCCTCGCTGAGGCCCTGTCAGAGGGGCTGAGCTGGGGGTCACCACTTACACCTCCATCGGTCAGTAATGAGAATCACTGCCGCCAGTGGCAGAGGAGACCTCATGGGAACCTGAACTGCTGCTGCTACCTCTTAGGAACAAGGCACCCCAACTTCTCTCAGATAAGTCTAGTGGAGAGTCAGGCCTGCTGCTGGTGGTGGCGGTGGTGGTGGTGAGGCCACCTTGACCCCCTCATGGTGTCACATGGGAAGCAGTGAGGAGGCCACCTCCCCTCCCAGCCAAGGACATATTTGAGCACACCCAATGGGGAATCAGAACTTTCACCCTACCCAGCAAAAATCAGAAGTCCTCCTTCTCAGTGTCAGCAGGGAGAATCTTGACATCACCCCCTCCCCTCTCAGTAATGAAGTCGCATCCTCCCTTCCCTGTCAAAACGGCACCAGGGAAGGCTAGCTAAAATAGGTTTACATAAGACCTAGAACCAAAATAGAAAAATGTCAAAGTTTCAATTAAAAAACTACTCGTTAGAAAGAACCATGGTGTCAGTGTGGTCTGCCGGGTGTTGTGTTCCTAACCAAAAGACTACCTCCAGCAGTTCAAATCCACCAGCTCTTCCATGGGCAAAAGGGAGGTAGCCCCCCCTTGTTTAGACTTCCAGCCTCAGAAATCAAATACAAGACCCCTGTATGTTGGAAGCAACTTGGTGACAGTGAGTGTGCCAAGAAGCAGAAAGCTCTCAGAATGAGTGAAAAAGAGAAGCAATAAGCAATGACACCAGAATGGTGGAGACGCTATAAAGAACCCAGGAATTTTAAAGCAGCCATCATCAAATTGTCTCAATAATTAAGAGCATATTCAAAACCAAAGAAAAATGATAACTCTAAGCAAGAAAACAGAAAACAGAAAGAAGCAGATGGCCATTTTCAGCTCAGCTCATTAGAGCTGACCCACCACAGGTTTGTCCAAGGCTGTAAATCACATGAGAAGAGACTCTCCATCTTCCTCCAGGGCACAGCCGGTGCCTCTGCCCGACCGGGAGGGGCTGCCTTGACTCAGCCGGGCAGCTCCTACATACATCAACAGAACTCCCAGGTAGCAACTTTAGAACTTAAAAAGTAACAAAGATGTAAGAAGAAAGAATGAGTAGATTGAAAGATAAATGGAAATCTAGTCTAAACAACAGAAATAAATTAGACTAAAAAAAATGAACAGCACCTCAAGGATGTGTAGGAAATGATTCATGATCCAACGTTCATGTCAAAAGTCTTGTAGGGAAAGAAGAAAGATGGTGGAGCAGAAAAAGCACTCAGAGAAATAATGGTTCCTGTCATCCTCAAGTCAAGCCTAACTCACAGGGGCCCTGCAGGACAGAGGGGAGCTGTGCCCACCGGTTTCCAAGGTTGCCGTCACTACCAGAGCAGACCCCACCTCTTTATTCCATGAAGAGGGCGGATGTTTGAACCACCAACAGTTATTTATAAGAGAAGCTCTAACTACTGCACTTTCAGGGCTCCTTATGAACAGGGAAGAGGAAAAAAGGTGTGAAAGGAATACAACGTGGATACTTCACCGAACAGACAAACGACCCACTATAGGCTGCACACGTACTTGTGATAACTTAAACAGAATGTGCTGACTCCTCAAAACCCACACGCAACCACAATTCACCCAATGAGAAATAGATCTCTGGAATCGCCCACAGCTATTAAAGAATCTGAATCTTTCATTTAAAAACTCTCAAAAGTAAATCACTAAACTATATTGTCTCGCTGCAGAATTCTGCCAAACATTTGCAGTAATACCAACTCTACACAATCTCTTGAAGAAAACATGAAAGATGTGTGCACTTCATATGTTGGCATGATTAGGTTCCAGACACCAGCTGTTATGTGAAATCCACATCATGTGAAAGTGAAGGATGACACAAAGATCACAAATGGATCACAATTTAACGGACCCCCTCATTACATAACTAACACACCCATCCTGTAACTGCGAAGCCAGTGCGGATCCAGGCCCCGCCAAGGTCCTGGCACAGGAGCCAGCACCACAGCGCCACTGCCCTTGCCCCGTCCCTGGGCATACGTTCCTGCCAGTCCCCAGCGGGAGAGTAAGCACACACTGTTGTTACAAATGTGAAATGTCAGATGATGAGACATTCAATAAACCACAGAGGTGAACTTCCCAGTTCACGTTATGGATGACTTTTATCCTGATAGCCAAACCAGAAGTAGTCAACACAAAAGCAAATAAACAAAACTGTAGACCCATCGAGACTAGATGCAGAAACCAGGCTGAGACCGGACTCCATCGTTTCATTGTCCTCACACATGGCAAGGAGTCGGGGAGGGAGCAGGTCAGTTCACACTCTCCTGGCTGGGATCTCTGGGAGCCCGTGGTGTGCTAGTGGAGCTCAACAACTCTGAACTCAATATGTACCTTTAAGGACACACATGTATATTACAAATTTGACATCAAGGATGTGTTAGAAACAATGTACAAGTAATAGTCAAATGCCACCATGCTTTGTGGATCATTCCATAGAACCAGCAGATTCTCTTAGGAAGCTTTGTGGATTTCTACCCAACTTGTATCCACCACCCACCAATCACTGATGAGTGTAGCTCTCGTTGAAAGTGAAGGTCGCTGGATCTTTTCTGTTACTGCATATGATAACTTGACCCTCGATGAGCAACATCTGAAGACAATAGATGGCTTTTGTGCTGCTCATAATTGTAAGAGCTCTAGACAATGATATTGTCCACTCAATCTGTGTTTCTAACATTTTATCCATTACGTCATTAAGTCAATCCACAAAACAATACATTAAGCCCAGATGCATGAGACAGCAGTCGATTTGCAGTGTCAATGTTCCCACATGAACAAATGGCCTGCGTCCCTGTTACACACTAGATCCCCAGCCACCCTCATGGGCCAGGGCAGTAAAGGAGTGCAGGAGGCTGAGGAGTCCTGACAGAGGCCAGCATGGGACGAGCCTCAGTGGTCACTTGGTGGGGCGATCCCCTGGCACCCTGAGGGCAAGGCCGTACTGGTGTACATGACTGGCCCACAGCACCATCCCCCTCTCTGCTCACCCAGGCCTCTGTGTACTGCGTGGCGGCTGTCCTGTGGACTGCAGCCAAGTTCAGCATTCCCCGTGACCAAAAGTTGCCCCTGCCACGCAGACTCAAGGCCCTACTGTTGGACATGGCCAGACGCAGCGCCCAGGATCGGCTCTCTGCAGCCGAGGCCATCAAGGTAATGGCCCGCAGCCACATCTGTGGCCCAGCCTGAAGTGATGGGCCTCCACTGCTAAGCTGAGCATGAAGGGCTTGGGGAGTTCGACAGGTGTAGCTGGAAATGGGTGGGCATCATTATATCAGCAACATTTCACAGACCACTGGTCTTTGCCAACGCTTCCTTCGGACTGAAATCAAGCTGGAGATGCCTCAAGTCAAGCACTGGAGAGCTGCTCTAAGGCTCTGCCAGGAGCCCCAATTTCCCTTCCTCCCCCTCCCTTCTGAGGTCCCCTCCTGGCCTCACACCTTTAGCTCATGGGACAAGCATGGCATCCTGCTGGGGCATGAGCTGGAGCTGATCATGAGACCACCCTCCTGCCGCCTTTGTCAGGCAGAAGCTGGAGATGGAGCCGGGGGTCCCCAGTTTGGGTGGAAGCAGACTGAGAGATGGGCTTTGGAGGGGTACAGCCTCTCCACTCCAGCTGCCCTGGGCCTGGTTCAGGTGTTCCCAAGCTGTCTTTGGTGGCTCCCACCAGATGAGAATGATACCTGTCAGAGTTTCCACTAGGAAAAGGTGCCTGGTGCTCTTGAAACATCCTTCAGGTGGAAAAACTAAATCGTTGTCTTCACCATACCAACCCAGTCTTAGATGAAAAGGGACTTCATCCAACTATCAGTGTCTGACCCTGCAAAAAGTGGGTGTCAGGTCTGCTGTGCACCCTGTCATGCCACATCCTATACCCACACCCAACCATGCCACACCCCTACACATGGGCATACCTGGGGACCCCTAACTCAAAGGTGTCACTGGCTCTATCTCACCAACTGCAGACAGGTCTCCTTCCAGAGTCTGGCATATCCACACGCATCCTCCCCCACTGCTTACCTTCCCTGGCACCTGAGCCACTTGTCTCGAACCCATGCCAACTGCCCACTGTCTCCTGATTTCAGATGTGCAACAGCTACCTCCTTCAGCGAGGCATGGACAGCAAGAAGATTTTAGCCCACCTGAGTGCATCTACCTGTAAGGTAAGGTGGACATGTTCAAAGCTCACTTGTGACGCGCTCTGCTCTATCTCTGGAGAGCCTGGGTGTAAAGTGTTTACTGTCGGATCCACATAGAAGTTGCAAAAGAGAGTAATGATTTTTCTTAAATTAATAATTTGACTTCTCTTAGACTATTGCTGGGGAGCAGGGGAGGGATTCAGCTCTCAGGGTTTCCTTTGACCACTCCCCTCTCCTGCCTTCTCAAGGCTGTGAGGTTCAGCACAATGAATAAAACTGTCTGCTGGCCCTCCTGTCTTTGTTGTGCATGGGTCAGCAGAGTAGTCCAGATGCCTCCCTGCAGACAAGTCATGTGATTCCCCCAATCAGGCATCTAACAGATGTGGCTCTGAGTAACACAGGGTTTCAGCCAAGAGATCATCATCCATCCTCTAGAGACAAGCCAGAAAGGGCTTCAATTGGCAAACACCTGGAGGCTCTTCAGAACAAAACAGAAGTGTCTGCAGGTTCTACTTCCCCCCTGACCTGCAGGTCCTCCATCCCCCTAACCCACAGACACCCCATCCCCCTGACCTGCAGGTCCTCGGTCCCCCTGACCCGCAGACACTGTCTCCTGACCTGCAGACCCTGTCCCCGACACCCCATCCCCCTGACACCCCATCCCCCTGACCCGCAGACACTCTGTCTCCTGACCAGCAGACCCCCATCCCCCTGACCCGCAGACACTCTGTCTCCTGACCAGCAGACCCCCATCTCCCTGTCCCGCAGACACCCCATCCTCCTGAGCAGGTACCCTTTATACTCCTGAGATGCACACCCTTCACTCTCCTGATCTACAGGTCCTCCATTTCCTTTGTACAATCTCTCATCAGCCCCCTGAGCACAAGCTGGTCTGTGTAACAGTAACTGGGAAAAGGCACTGTGGAGTCACAGAGGTGGAATGTGTTCAGCTTAAGGCTTTTAATGTCTTTGTGAGCACTGCCTTACAGAAGCTTCTGCCCCAGGTTTACCAGGAGGAAGAAACCATCAGTCTCCAAAATACTTTCTCAGTGGTTGATCTGGCACTGCTTCCTGAGCCCAGTCCAGGTGTAGTCCGTGAACCTCAGGCTCCTGCACTCAGTCTCACGTGTACATGAGTAGCCGAAGGGGACCAGGGCAGCATGTCCAATACTCACTGAACTGGAGTCCAGCCTGCCCTCTTAGAGCTCTGGTTCATCCATCAGTGAATTAGAGTTGGCTCTCGGGCTGTGGCAGTGGCTTCATTGGGGCGTGTGGATGGCATCTTCTGACAGAGGGAGAGCCACTAAAATGGCCTCAGAGTCCATGGTGGTGGTGGCAGTGGGTGGCAGATGTGTGGTGCTATAAGGAGGGAGCCTGCAGAGGCAGAACTGTCACTGCAGTTAAACCAGTTTGGTACCTTGTCGTCAGGAAGGTCACCCTCAGCTACAGCAGTCCACCTGCCATTGCACTGTGGGAAGGGCAGGGCTGGTGGGAAGGGGTAGGGTGGGAGAGGGGGAGGGGACTCGCTGGGTGGAGGAAGGGGCAGATTGGCAGAGGGGCTCTCTGGGGCAGGGTAGGAAAGGTGAGGAGGGCCAAGTGCTCTGTGAGGAAGTTCAATAACTGACTTGTCCTGGGGTGACACAAACTACAATATCCACTTGGGCTGTGCCCTGATGTCCCTGCCACTACCCTCCAGCCCCATGATCCCCAGCGCCCTCCAGGGGACCAGCCTTACCCAGTCCTGGGAGGTGGCACCCTCCCAACTCCTTACTCCCCTACGGGCTGTGTGAGCATGTTCTGTCTGAACATGTGATTTCTGTATGTTTCCTTCATTGTTGTTGTTATGTGGTGTTGATTCATAGAGACCCTATGTACACAAGCCCTAAACCCTGCTCTGACCTGTGTCAATCTCACACACATACCCCCATTTCCCCAGTCACTGAATCAACCCATCTCATCGTGGGTCTTCCTCTCCTGAGCTGTCTCTCCTCCCAAGCATGATGTCGCCTCTCCAAGGACTGATCCCGCCTTGAAACATGTCCAAAGTATGTCCTTCATTGTTGTTGTTGTTGCCGCTTGCGACTCATAGAGACTCTACGTACAACAGCCCTAAACTCTGCTCTGTCCTGTGCCAATGGCACTGATACACCCATTCCGATTACCCCAATCACATTGTTGTATGTACAACAAAACCTTCATTGTCCTTCATTACCAAAGGAAAAATAAAAAGGAACGGGAGTCACTGTGGCACATGGTGACCCTGTAGGGTCAGTGTTCCCAAGGCCACAGCGTTCATGGAAGCCACCTGCCACGCCCTTCCCTGGAAGAGCACCTGACCTTCCTGTATCACCAGGTCCTCCTCACTACAACCTCCCTGAGCAGGACCCCTGGCCCTTCCAGCCCCTCACCCTCCATCCAGCCTCCTTGACACTCCCTCCCGCCCTCTCTCCATGGGGGTGGGACTCTGAAGGTCGGGCTCTGAGAGGTGCAGGCGGGGAGAGGGGGCTAGGAAGGCAGGGGCGGGCTCAGGCTCTGGGCGAGGCAGCTGGAGGATGCGGGGGTCAGGCTTGGGCTGGGGGGGCGCGCAGGCAGGCGTGAGGGCGAGCTCAAGGGGGCCATGGGGGTGGGCGGGGGGCTGGGGAGGCTCAGGGGGACTCAAGGAGGGCGCGGGGACAGGCTCAGGGGGCGCAAGGTGTGTGCAGGGGAGGGCTCGGGAGCGCGGGAGCGGGCTGGGTGTGCAGGAGGGAGTAGTGTGAGGGCGGGTTGTGGGAGTGCGAGGAGGGCTGGGGAGAGCAGGGGTGGGCTGGCGAGTTCGAGGCAGGCTTGAAACGTGCAGGGGCCGGGCGGGGGGGGGGGGGCGGGGGTGAGCTCTGGAGAATCTGAAGTGTGGGGCCGAGCTGGGGGGCAGGGGTAGGCTCTGGGAGGTGCGCGGGCTTGGGCTGAGGGGTGCGGGGGGGCTCGACAAGAGGACCGGCTCCTGGTGGTCCAGTATGGGGCAGTGGCCGTGTGTACGGTGGTCCTGACGTGGACCTGTCCTCAGGCTTCGTGGCCGTCGACGAGGACGCCAAGCTGGCCACAATGCGCGGCCCCCCAGCGGACACAGCTGCCTCCCGCTCCGAAGCCACCGAGCTGCTGACTGCGTTCCCGGCGGCGGCCGAGCACTTCAGTCCCGTCGCGCTCCAGCCGGAGGAAGACACCGCGTGAGTGCCGCCGGGGCGAGGGGGCGCAGGGCGCAGGCCCCCCACTCAGCGCTCTGCCTCTTCTCCAGCAGGGACGAGCGGGCTGCAGCCCCCGACCCCGAGGGGCGAGGCGGTCGGGCTGCTGGTAGTGCCGATTCGCGGGCGCCAGCCGCAGAGCCGCAGGGCGCACCCCCAGCGGGCTTCCCAGAGTCTGCGGAGGAGCGTCCTTGCCCTGCGCCCCCCGTTCCGGTCCACCGGCCGGGAGACGCTGCATCCTCGGAGACCTCCAACTCCACAGTCCCGGCTTCTCCGCCCGCCCCGCCCCGGAAGACACAAGCTCGGCCCGAGCAGCCCCCGGAAGAGCCGGTTCGGCTGGACGCCACTTGTGGGGGCCTCGAGCCTACATACCCTGGGATCCCCTCAACCAGTCACGGTCCACGCCGCCTGCCCAAAACGCCCAGGGGCCCGACCACCGAGCGCCCAGATCAGGCCAGCTCAAATGGTCCCCGGGGTTCTGCAGGTAGAGACCGAGCCAGGCCTGCTGACCGCAGGGCGTGCCCCCCAGGCGCGGACACCCCGCCACAACAGAGGACCACTTGTCCCTCGCTGCAGGAGGCCATGCGCCTCATCCAGGAAGAGTTCGCTTTCGATGGTTACCTGGACAACGGGCTGGAAGCCCTGATCATGGGTGCGCTTCAGGACCCTAGGGAAGGCCCTGGGCCAAGCGGGTGCAGGCGGGGCTGAGACTAGGCTAAGGAGTAGGGTGCTGTTAAGACCGGGAGATGGGGACAGAGCAGTGGGGTGCAGACCAGAACTGGGGGGGGTTGGAGTCTCAGCGTCCCTCCCAGCCCTCATTCGCCTTCTGTCCAGTAGTCTCACGTGCGTAGAACTCCGCCCCAGGGGACTGGAGCAATGCTGGAGGCCTCCCCACCCCCCTCTCCTGTCCTAGAACCCAGCTGCTTCCCTCTTCCTAGAGCCCCGCATGGCTGACCCGTAGCCCAGAGCTCAGCGTCCATCCGCATTCCCTTCTCCGCGCCCCCCGCCCCCCCCACGCCCCAGCCCTTGAGACCAAAGCCCGCAGCTCAGGAGTCAGGATTTTTAGCCTTACTCATGCCCTAGATGTGCGGTAACCCAATACTGTAACTGCTCCCGGACCTTCCTAAATCCAGGGGAATACATCTACGCCTTGAAGGACCTCACTTTCGCCACTTTCTGCGGCGCCATATCAGAGAAGTTCTGTGACCTTTATTGGAATGAGAAGTTACTGCAGAACCTGTTCAATGTTGTCAACGGGACCACCTCACCCTCTGAGGGGTAGGACCCCTCCCTGTGGCCCCAGAACCCCAGGCTAACCCTTTGTCTGCCTGGACCTATAGCTCAGCCCTCCCCTGGACCTCCACCTTGACATCAGAAATCTTTGCCAACCCTCCTTCCCACAGCTTCCCCAGATTCCTTCTGAGAAAAGAAAAGGCTCCTGGCCCATGGATGGGGTGGGGTGGAGCCTAGGGGTCCACATTTCCTGAGATGACTCATCTGGCAGATTACCTAAAGGCCTCTTGGGAGGAGGGAAAACACTGATTTTCCCAGGATGTGCTACCACATGGGGTGCTGGTGGGGGTCCTCACTGCACCCCAGCAGGCTGCACCCCAGCAGGCCACACCCAGGCTAGAGAAGTTCCCCATATAAGCCTGGCCTGTTTCTTTACCACAGTGTTTCTGAGGACGCTGAGCCACAGCCTGAGAGTCATGTCCCAGCCAGCAGCTGTTCCACATCCAGCAAAAGACCCTCAGGGCCCAGGCCAGGTGAGCGATGCCTTGGGTTGGGGCAGGCATGTGGGGCTACTCAGTCCAGCTCACCCTTTCTGGGCTTCTACGAAGAGTTTACAAGCCTCTTTACTGAAATTTCACACTTGCTGTCCAAAGGCTTCCTGGGCCAGCCTGGGACCTGGCTCCAAGAGGACCTTGCAACTGCCAGAGGTCCAGGTTGAGCATGGCCAGGGCAGGTTGGAAACAGCCAACAACTGGATCCAGCAGGACAGGGTTAGGGTTAGGGACTTTGCTGCTGCTTGGAATCTGGGGTTGGTTGTTGGCACCAAGTCTCTGTTCAGGCAAAGCAGGAGCTGGTAAGCTCCTGGCTAAGGGGTCCTGGAGCCTGAGGTGCCCATGGGATGTGGGAAGGGGGTGCCATGAAGGGTCCTGGAGCCTGGGGTGCTTGTGGGGCCCACAGCAGAGGGAACCTGTGGGATCCGTGCACCTGACAGCACGGTGGTCCCTGATGCAGTGTTGGTGGACAGTCAAGAGAGCTGGATTTGTTTTAAATATTCCAGGAAAAAAGATGGAAATTCTGGGCATCAAGGGAGCAAAGGTGATAATGGCAGGGACTGGGCAGCATGCACATTACTCACAATGTCAAGTGAGGAGTTAGAATCAGAAAAATCAGGGGAAGGAAAGCACCATCACATCCTGGGCACACATCCATGCTTCCTCGTGTTCACATCCACAGAGGAGCAGCTCAGGCCTGTATGTCAGTCTCTCAGGGCAGGATGGGCCTTATGGCATCTCTAGAACAGAACCTGGTCACTGAGGGGCCTGTGCCCTGGTGCACAGCTGGACCATGGTCCAGTGACAACAGCCTCTGCTTCCCAGGGAGAGAAAAGCCAGCTGCAGCCCACAACAGCAGAGTGCCTTGCTCCCCCACGCCACTCTCAGGCCTCAACTCAGAGGCCCTCTCCCAGGGCAATTTTGAAGTGGGCTTCCGACCACAGAAATCCATCAAGGCCGAGAAGGAACCTGCAGTGGGAAGCAGCTGTCCACACTTTGAGGACCCAGACACTGAGCTGGCCAGTGAGAGCCCCAGCTCGGGAGAGGTGACTCAGCTGGAAGAAGGCATACTGGCCATGGCTCCCAGCCCTGCTGAGCTGCAGAGCTGCAGCCCTGGCTGGTGCAGTGCCTTTTATGAGGCCGACTGCTTCAGCACTGACGTGCACAGCTACGTGGAGGCAATGGGGTGGCAGAAGGCCACTGAGACCACAGAAACGGATCCTCAGCATCTGGTGAGTCCAGACCTGGCCAGGCAAGGCTAGTGGTACTGTGATGTCCAGAGGCACCAGCATGCACAGCTGCGCCTGGGAATCCTACCCCTGGTGCCCTGCATGTCTGCAGTGGATATGCTGAGCCTACCTACACAGGTGCCCTGGGCCACCTAGAGTCAAGAGGTAGCTGTGCTAAGCCTACCTGCACAGGTGTCCCTGGAGTCAGGAGTGGTTGTGATGTGCCCACCTGTACAACTGCCTCAGGACAGCTGGTCGGAGGTGGTTCCAAGTCAGTCAGAGGTGCTGAACCCACCTGCACAGATGCCCCAGGACACTTGGAGTCAGGAGTGGGTGTGCTGGGCTCAGCCCACCTCCACTGGTGTCCCTGGAGTCAGGAGTGCTGCACTCACCTGCACAGGTGCTCCAGGACACCCTGTGGAAGGACAGCTTGGTGGCTTTCCTTCTCATTAGCCAGGCCTATACACCCATCCCATGGCCACTGTCAGGTTGGGGTCCCTCGGCAGACAGATACCACACTTCCTTGTCTGCACACCAAAGTCTCTTGTCTCTGAGCAGAAAGCTAGAGGTGTCTGTTCCTGGCTGTCTAGTGTGGGCTGGGTCCTTGGGACAGTATCCTCTACGAGTAGACTCATGGTCAGCAGAGCTGAGTGAAGACCATGGGCGTGTTCCATGGACTGCTACACTGGCACCAGGCCCATCCTCACTCCAGAAACCCGGAGCTCGAGCTGCCTGTCAAAGGCCAGGATCATGCACAAGACCTGCCACCCGCAGGACAGCAGGTTTCAGAAACACTACAGCCTGACTTCAGTCTGACCTGGGGACACAGAGTCATGTCCATTCTCACAGACAACAAAGACAGACCTTACAGTCTCAAAGTCTGGATCCTGGTGGTCAGTTGGCACTGCAGCCCTGCAGAAGGTCCCCTGTCATGGTCACCCACACTCTCCCCAGGCATAGACCCTGGGTGAGTCCTGGGCATGGTCCCAGAGGTCAGTTCAGCCTCCACTTTGCAGCACCCATCCCTTTCCAGAGCCTGCATTTACAATTGATTGTGTCCACATAGGAACCTGAAGGTCCTCTATTCCCAACCCCACACCACCTCATGCAACAGGAAGCATTTACCTTGCACCTGGGAGCAGGAATACTGTGCCGGGTAGAGAAGCTGGGGCAGAGGACAGGGTCAGCAAGAGTTCAGGGTGGGCTGCTGTCAGGGGCAAGCAGGCTCAGTGAACCCTGAGGCTCCTTGTTGGAGGCTGTGTTACTGTACAAGTGGCTCCTGCTTATGGAGGTGAAGAACTGTGGACATGAAGGACTATGCCAGGGTGTGTAGCTTGTTCATGGGAACGTGTTGCAGGGAGGGCAGAAGGGAGCTGTGACCTCCTTTTCCCTCTTTTTCTTGCACCCTCTGAAGAAGTCGTCTCTCCTGGAGCCAGGATGCAGCCAGGTGAGCTCCCCATGCCATCTCTGCCTAGGAGTCTGGGCAAAGCCATTCCAGGGCCACAGTTCAAATCTGTCCTTGAGGGCAATGGCCACTGTGTCTGCTGCATAAGAGGAAGCTATAGAGCAGGTGAAGGACATGGACAGCCAGTAGCCAGAGCTTCCCACATGCAACCAAAAGGCAGCTTGAGAGCAGGGATGGGAAGGACAGCCGAGCGACTCGAGAGCCTTGTGCACCTGTGCACTCACATGCTTGTATACTGTGTTCTTGTGCACCTGTGCACTCACACACCTGTGCATCTGTATTTTTGTGCACCTGTGGACTAATGTACCTGTGTACTCACACACTTATGCCCCTGGATACCTGTGCAGTTATACATCTGTGTTTATGGACACTTAAATATTTGTGTACCTGCACACCTGTGCACTTACCCACCTGTCTGCCTGAGTACTAGTGTGTTTATACATCTGTAAAACTGCACTGTGTACTTGCACGCCTGTGTGCCTGCACATCTATGCACTTGTGTACCCATGCACTTTTGCACTCACTCATAGAGACCATATATAACTAGGTACCTATACCATGTGCTGTGCTCTGCAGGTATGCCCAGGGCGGATGTCAGGGCTGAGCTACACTCTGATCTTTAGTCTCCATGGTTCCTGTCATCGCATTTGTTAAGTAGTTTTGTTCTCAGAGTTCCAATGAATAACCTCAGTTTCTGTTCATCCTTTCTTATCCTTCTGTGTCTGCAATACAATGCCTAGTTTTTCTAACTTCCTTCAAATTTATTATTCTGTCTAGTCCCCAGTATTGTCAGTTTTCATGTCTATTTGATCTTAGTAGTCACTTTGCCTGGAGTGTTCAAGTCTTTCATGTTCATGTCTCTTTAACCCATGTTTTCCTATTAGGAAAAGCCTGTTGTCATGAGCCATCAAGTCACCTGCAACTCATAGCACCCCTATGTACGACAGCTCTGAACCTGCCCTATCCTGAGCCAGTAACAAGGAGTCAGACACATCTTCCCCCATCATCCCAGTTACTGTGTCAATCCACCTAATGCGGGTCTCCTCTCCTGCATTGTCCTTCAACCCTTCCAAGCATGATGCCATTCTCCAAGGACCAGTCCCTCCTGGCCATGTGCCCAAAGTATGTGAGATGAAACTTCAGAATCCTTGCCTCTAAAGAGAAACTTGGTTTCATCCTCTCCAAAACAGACCTAGTTGTTTTCTTGACAGTCCATGGTATGTTCAATACTCTTCTCCAGCACCACAACTCAAAGGCATAGATTCTTTTTCTATCATCCTTAATCATTGCTCAGCTTTCTGATGCATAGCAAGTAATTGCAAAGATATAGCCTGGCTCAGGCACACCTTAGTCCCTAGACTGACATCATTACTCTTAAGCACTTTGGACAGCATACTTCCTCAGTGTAGTTCATCTTTTGATTTCCTGACTGCTGGTGCTCAAAGTGTTGACTGTGGCTCCAAGCAAGCTGAAATTGTTAACAACCTCAATCTTTTCTTCATCTGTCATGGTGCTGCCTATTGGCCCTGTGGTGAGAATCTTTGTTTTCTTGATGTAGAGCTTCAAGCCATATTGAAAACTATAGTCCTTTTTTTTTTGGGAAAACTACAGTCCTTGACCTTCTGCAGCAAATGCCTCAGGTCCTCCTCAGTTTCAGCAAGCAAGGTTGAATTATCTGCATATTGCAGGTTGTTGATGAGTCTTCCTCTAATTCTGATGCCACATTCCTTGTCATAAAGCCCCAGCCTCCCAAATGATCTATTCTACATACTGATTGAAAAGGTATGGAGATAGGATGCATCCCTGATGCACTCCTTTCCTGATTTCGAATCATGCAGTGTTTCCTTGCTCTGTTCTGAGAACTGCTTCTTGGTAAAGTATAGGTTTCACATGACCACAACCAAGTGTTCTGGAATTCCCATTCTCCTCAAGCTTAGGTACAATTTATTGTGATCCATACAGTCAAATCCTTTTCCATAGTCCATGAAATGCAGACATTCCTCTGGTACTCTGTGCTTATAGCCAAGGCCCATCTGACTTTGGCAAGAATATCTCTAGTGCCATAGCCTCTTCTAAATCCCATTTGTATTTCTGGTAGTTCTCATTTTTTTATAATCTTCAACAGGATTTTACTTGCCTGTGATATTAGTGATAGTGTTCAGTAATTTCCACACTCTGTCAGGTCACCACTTTGGGAATAAAAAGATAGGTATCTCTCTCTTCTAGTTAGTTGACCAGGTAGTTGTCCTCTAGATTTCTTGCCACAACCTGGTATGTCCAGGGCAGCATCTGTTTGTTGAAATATGTCAACTGGTATTCCATTAATTCCTGGGGGCCTTGTTTTTTATCAGCTCCTTCAAAGTAGCTTGAACTTCCTCCTTCATCACCATTGCCTCTTGATCATATTGTTTTTTCATTAATTTCTTCTGTGTCAGCCAATTCTTTTTGGTACAGTGACTCTGTGTATTCCTTCCATCTTCTTTTAATGCTTTCTGGATCATTCAATATTCTGCCCACAGCATCCTTAAGTATTGTAACTTGTGGCTTGAATTTGTTCTTTAGTTCCTTCTGCTTAAGAAATGCCAAGCAAGTTCAGCCCTTTTGATTTTCTGACGCCAGCTCTTTGCATGTTTCATTTAAAAGCCTCATTTGGATTAAATTTTACAAGCTAAAAGGTATCTCAAGGGCTTTGTTTAGACGCAGCCGGTCCTATCCAGACATTGTTGGGTCTGTCCATTCTCCAGGACGGGCCAGCAAGCCTTGTTCTTCAGCATCCCATGTGCTGTGTGATGTGCAGTTGACCCAAATCTGCCCTTAAAATTAGTCACTTTCACACATAGTCAGGTTCCAATCCCTATAAAGAAAACTCTTCAAAAAAATTTAATATTAGGGAGCTCTGGTGGCCTAGTGGCAAAAAGCTGCACTACAATCACAGAGATGCGCGGTTCAAATCCACCTGATGCTCTGCTGAAGGAGGGGCCATCTCCTCCTGTACCTGTCAGATCTGATTTGATGGTACACACACACACCAAAAAAAAAAATAAAATAAAATAAGAATTTAAAATTAACAAGTCTTCTCAGATCCATCACAGATTTGAGATTATAGGACAGGATGCCACCCCAAAAACTGGACAGACAGCTGACACGAACGCTACTCCAGAACAGGCTTCTACTCCAGCTTGTTGGGGACACTCTGACCCTGGACAGAAGCTCATACTGCTTCTCTAAGGTCATGGTGTGTCAGTTTGTGCACATCTGGTGTCTTGAGGGTTAGGAATGGAATGGCCTGGCTGGCAGGACAGGACAAGGGCCCAAGCTGCACAGACGACAGCCGCGTTGGGTCACGGTGTGTTCTTCCCTCAGGAGCTAGAGCAGCAGCTGATGATGGAGAAGAGGAGTTATCGCAAGACTCTGAAATTTTACCAGAAGCTACTGCAGAAGGAAAAACGAAGCAAAGGTGGAGGGGGCAGGGCGGAGGGGGC